ACTGCTGATCTTTCTTTTGCATAAGTAAGGCAGAATAAATCATTCTATCATCTTCCGTCGTGGAATCCCGGAATCTAGTAATAAGAGTCTCATTGATCGTCCTAGATCTATTTAACCCAAAGAACATACGTCTCGTCATGGTTTCTATATGAGCCAACTTGCGATCATCCATCTTGTAAATCTTGTTCTTTACATCGCTGATGATCTTATAGTTCTCATCGATGTCCTGGGCCTTGTAGAAGGAGTCCATGTTATGCGTGGAGAACTTCTTGGCTTGAAAGTTGGGCAGATGTGGTATCTGAACTTTCGTAGCTTTCTGGAAAGCTGCATCTAGATTCTGTGGCACTGCCGCAATCGGGTCGATCGGGGTAGAGTGATTGCATCTGGATCATCTTCCTTCATCAAATACGTCTGCGCTGTATTGCCACTTTTAGATGGTGATGTGAGATCTAGGTTATTGACCATCCAATACCGTGATCTCTGCATCAGAAAATATGATTCCTCCATCATCCTCAAAACCATCATCATTAACAAATTGTAGATGCTCTTAGGGACTGCGTGTAGCTGTCTGTATATCTGATGAGGTTTGTGGCGATCTAGTTGACTTGTAGCGCCGCTCTATGTGGAGATCTGACGGGTGATCGACCTGGTGATGAACAAAGTGGAGATCGTCTATGGGATGATCTTCTCGAGACTTGTGAGGTGAATGTTGATAGCTTCGCGAAGCTCTTCGGCAGTCCCTCGATGTTCTTCTAGATGATGAAGATCTGGAATCATATGTCCTTCGCGAATGCCTTAGCGAAAGCTTCATTTGCGCCCGGTCCGGGATCGATGATATGACCTTCGCGAAGGCTTCCGTGATGTCTGATGGTCTGAGTCCATATCTAGAGATGAAATCGAAGATGGTGATGATCTCTCCCGCCGCTGGAAGGCCTTCGCGAGCTGTACATCTAGGTCCTTCGTCCAAGGTGGTGCGGGACTTCCTTCGCCGAAGGTGACATCGTCTTGGCTGCTACGTTGACGGGGGTGCCTCTGGGGTGCTGTCTACGTTGGAGCCTTCGCGAAGGGTTCGGACCCTGCTTGCGCGCAGTTTGTAGTGGTCCTCCATGATGTTCATAATCTGCCGCATCATGTCTTCTGGGATGATCTGTGACGAAGTCGTCGGCGTCCTTTCTGCGATGGGGTTCACATCAATGACGTCTGACGCCGGTGTAGAGGCATCAGGCTGCATGGTGATCTCTGCAGAAGTCACAGTCGCTGACACCCGGTCGCTTCTTCTGCCGTGAAGTCGGGGATGATTATCGGCTGATCATCGTAGAGGCCCAATTCTGCTGCTGGAACGATCTCGGCTGAGAAAGTTCTTGCTGTCTTCGTGAGATTTCCCTTTGGAAGTCTGCGCTGCCCTGGGTGTCCTCAATCTGCGTTGAGGCGGCGATGAGGCCCTCTTAGACTTGGTCTGCAATGACGAGATGTCTGGGGAGGCCGGTCGTTTCTTCGAGGTAACGGACTGGCGCCCCACGCCTTCTGCCGCAGGGGTCTCTAGCAGAACACCAGACGGAGAGGGTCGATCGCTAGCAGCTGACTGGATGGAATATCTGGACTCTCTGCCATGTTTTGCCCTTGTTTGCGTGATCTATCTGCAGCACGTCTTAAGACGCATAAAGGTGATATTTATTAAATGCAGAATGAGATAAATTAATGCAGTAACTGCAACGCGGAATTAAACGCACACGGCGTAGAACAACTAGGGCATATTACATGTGGATCGGAGGCAGAAAACGTAATCTACAAATCGTACAGATTTTCATCAACGTAAAGCTAACTGAACAATCGAATACACGTGAATAAACAGTAGAAATAATGATAATTAATCAATACAAATAGTAAAGGATACTAGCTATACCTCTATAGTAACCTATGAGAGGTAAAAACTAAGAGATTATCAAAGGATATGGTGTGTAAGGAGACACAAGGCGCGCTCACATCCTGCTCACTGGGCGAAGAAGGAGAGAGTGGAGCACATGGCCAGAGGGTGGCGACACCTTTCCCGCCAGGGGAAGCAAAGGGGAGCAACTCGTGGTGAGTACCAATTAGTGATTTTATTTTGAAGGGAGCTTCAAATAAGGAGATACAAGTGTTCCACTATGTTCGCAAGAAGAAGAAGACAAGCAAAAGAGCATGAGTCAGGATAAGGAAAAATAATATTTTATTCAGAATTCCAAAACTACCAAAAGGCACCAGTACACCACCAGATCTATCTATGTGCCAAGTTTGGTGAAGAAATATTGAACGGTTTTAGAGTTCTGCTCCGGAAAAGAGCACTACCACTTATTTCAGTCAAAGTTGAACTTGTTGCCATGGAAACGCCAAAAATATTTAATTCAGAATTCCAAAACTACCAAAAGGCACCAGTACAGCACCAGATCCATGTATGTGCCAAGTTTGGTGAAGAAATATTGAACGGTTTTAGAGTTCTGCTCCGGAAAAGACAAATGTGCATGGACGGACGGACGGACGCACGCATGCACGGACTGAGTCCATTTTAATACCCCGCAAAACGCGCTCTGGGGATAAAAAAGAGAAGTTCTGAAATGAAAGTAATGCATTAGGATACAAATTGTATTGAACCTATATTTACGGGATACTTATATCACAGCCTCACTGTACCGTTACACCCATACGAAGCAGAATAATGTGAAGTAAAAGTAAATTAAAGACAAGAGCAACAGAACAGAACTGAATAGGACTACAGAGTATTACATGGGTCACAAAATAGGGCAACCAAAATATGACATGCCAAGAACACAATAGAGCAACCAAAGTAGTGCAAGAGCAACAGAATAGGGCAACCAAAGTAGTGCAAGAGCAATAACATAGGGCAACCAAAGTAGTGCAAGAGTAACACAATAAGGCAAACAAAGTAGTACAAGAGCAACAGAATAGGGCAACCAAAGTAGTAAACGAGTGACACAATAAGGCAAACAAAGTAGTACAAGAGCAACAGAATAGGGCAACCAAAGTAGTGCAAGAGCAACAGAATAGGGCAACCAAAGTAGTGCAAGAGCAACAGAATAGGGCAACCAAAGTAGTGCAAGAGCAACAGAATAGGGCAACCAAAGTAGTACACGAGTAACACAATAAGGCAACCAAAGTAGTACACGAGTAACACAATAGGGCAACAAATGTAGTACACGAGTATCACAATAGGGCAACCAAAGTAGTACACGAGTAACAGAATAGGGCAACCAAAGTAGTGCAAGAGCAACAGAATAGGGCAACCAAAGTAGTGCAAGAGCAACAGAATAGGGCAACCAAAGTAGTGCAAGAGCAACAGAATAGGGCAACCAAAGTAGTGCAAGAGCAACAGAACAGGGCAACCAAAGTAGTGCAAGAGTAATAGTATTCAATAGGGCAACCAAAGTAGTACACGAGTAACACAATAAGGCAAACAAAGTAGTACAAGAGCAACAGAATAGGGCAACCAAAGTAGTACACGAGTAACACAATAAGGCAAAGTAGTACAAGAGCAACAGAATAGGGCAACCAAAGTAGTGCAAGAGCAACAGAATAGGGCAACCGAGATTGCAAAAGCAACAGTATTCAATAGGGCAACCAAAGTAGTACAAGAGTAATAGTATTCAATAGGGCAACCAAAGTAGTACAAGAGCAATACAATTGGGCAACCAAAAGAGTACAAGAGCAACAGAATAGGGCAACCAAAATATGACATGCCAAGAACAACACAATAGAGCAAGCAAAGTAGTACAAGTGGTGGTGGTTGTGGAATTGGGTTTTACGTCGTGCTTGAGAATATTTCGCTCATATGACGACGTGCATGCGTGTGTATGTGCGGCTGCTTGTACTAGCCCAGACTGAAGCTGGTTTTATAGTGCTAGCCCACTGAGATACCATGCCGCAGTGAAGCATGAATACCCCACTCAGACACATTATACTGACTCCGAGCCGACCAGTCCTTGTTGTACCCATTAATGCCGAGCGCCAGGCAGGGACCAACAAGTACCATATTTTAACGTCTTTTGGTATGACGCGGTCGGGGATCGAACCCGCGACCTTCCGTACTCCGGGCGGACGCTCTAACCACTACACCATGGAGGCGGTCCAAAGTAGTACAAGAGCAACAGAATAGGACAACCAAAAGAGTACAAGAGCAACAGAATAGGACAACCAAAATATGACATGCCAAGAACAAAAGAATAGAGCAAGCAAAGTAGTGCAAGAGCAATACAATTGGACAACCAAAAGAGTACAAGAGCAACAGAATAGGACAACCAAAAGAGTACAAGAGCAACAGAATAGGGCAACCACAGTAGTACAAGTGCAACACAATAGGGAAGCCAAAGTAGTACAAGAGCAATAACATAGGGCAGCCAAAGTAATACAAGAGCAACACAATAGGGCAACCAAAGTAGTACAAGAGCAACACAGTAGGGCAACCAAAGTAGTACAAGAGCAACAGAATAGGAAAACCAAAGTATCAAAAGGCAACTGATTTTATGTGCCAATGGCACCCTGATCCATGAAACATATGGGCCATTTTCAGCCTGAATGGACTATTTTGGAATTGATCAGCCCTGGCTATCTAATGCGAGACAAACAATTTATCCACTGAATGACTTTGACTTTGAAACCTGCGAGCCAGATTCCCAATAACTGCGAGGGCAACAGAATATGTTACAAAAGTATCACAAGAGCAACCAATAAGAAGACAAACTGCACAGGGACGTTCTTTAACAGAACATGACTTCGTTGATTTTCAAATCTGAATGTTGCTAAGGCATAAACAAATAATAAAGGATAGTCACTGAACATTTGTAAATTAAAAATTAAGAGTAAACGACTGGGACTGATCAAAACAGTAACAGTCCAAACATTTATCAGCAACAGTTTGACACTTTGTACACACATTCTTCAATCAAGAATTACTACATAATTCAAAGCAATAACAAACTATGTTAACAAAGGAATCAAAAGCCAATCACCATTCTTTTTCAGCATAGCAAAAGGGTGTGGTGCAATAGGTGGACCATCATCATCTGCTGCAGAGGAGCCAGACTCTTCATGCAAGGCAGTGGAGCATTCAATCTTTGCAGGAGCATCAGAAGTGACAGCAGCGTTAACATCAGTCCTTATATAGGAAGATTTGATGTTAAAGGGAACATTGTGTGACTGATAGGTAGGTTTAAGAGGAGGAGTTGGAGCAAGCGGAGGAGTTGGAGCAAGAGGTGGTGTTGGGGCAAGCAGAGGTGTTGGAACAGTGTTTGAAGCAAGAGCAGATGCTGAAAGAGGATTACCAGCTGCTATAATAGTATCCATAGTTCTCTTTTCTGGGGATGCTGTCCAAGTAGAGTATGTGCTTGATGGCCCAGATAAATATTTCACTTGCTGCGAGTTTGCCAGACTAGAATGTGGAGTGGGTTGCACTAGTCTAGAAGTAGCATTAGAGGGGATATTCCAGGGTTTAATGTGGACAGAATGGGGTGGAGGTACAGGGAGGGATGTGGTAGAGAGATAGGATGTAGATGAGTGGGTAGGTGGGAAAGCGGCAGAAATAGCCTGAGTTTGACCTTGAGCTCGCTCTTCATTCCAGGAGAACTGGTATGTTTTTTGTGGACTGGTAACAGATGATTGATGCATGCTGTATCCATGAGACATTGATGGAGCCATGTGACTGGCTCCAAGCAGTGCCCTGCCTGGCAGCTGGGGATTCCCCACTTGTACTGGAACACCTCCAGATGGATAATGCATAGCTGTGTACTGCAGCCCTTGTTGAGCCTGGTAGAGATGAGGTGGTGGGTACAAAGGCTGTTGAGAGACATCGGCCTGGGCTACCATGTATTGGTGCTGGGGAGGACCAGACCCAGAGGTCAGGAATGGCTGGAACATGATCCTTGTTCACTTCCGGACACTGAAAAAAGAATTTTCAAAATAAGCCTCAGACATAATCAAATTGGTATCGTCATGGATGTTAAGCTCATTTTTTTTATAAAGGAAAGGGTGCTGCCAAGGTTCATGAAGGCCTGTACCATATGCACCCTACCACAGAAGGAACGACACAGTTGGGTGGATGTCATTCACACTGTACATGCTTCTCCATAAAAATCATCATTAAATTATGAACGGACCCTAAAGATGATATATTCATGACTGGTTTACATGGCAAGGAACAATTCCAACACCTTGAGCACGTTTTGAGGAGGTTACAAGATTAGGAGCTGAAACTTAAAACTTTAAGTGTAAATTGTTTGTAGACTCTGTGAAATATTTGTGACAAGTTGTATAGTAATGGTTCGTAACCACTTTTGCACAACACTATTAACATTTTTTCCATAGCAATCTTCTTGTGACAAGAGATAATAAATATCACGAAACTTTTGCGGACAGACTTTTAACACCTTAATAATTTACTTAATCATATTCATGTGCATTAAATAAAGACCAAATTATCTGAGATTTTCAGCAAGCCAGTCAGGATAGCTTTAACAATATATTACTAGCCCGATTCACAATCAGCTAGCATTTGGCTAGCAGGCCAGTAGCTATTTTGAAGTGAGGTGAGGTTAAATTGGGTTTAACATCGTGCTTGAGAATATTTCGCTCATATGACGACGTGCATGCGTGTGTATGTGTATGTGCGGCTGCTAGTACTATAGTCCGTTTGGATCAAAAGCAGACCGATGAATTACAATCTTACTCGAAAACTAATAAACACAAAATATTCAATGAAACACTGATCATAATCAAAACGTCAGACCAACTCTGATTTTTTGTGTGCAGAATTTATGTCCTAAAATTTAAAAAGTTGTTTAACAAACTATCATTAAAATATTGACACAGTTCACTATGTGTTACGAGGGAGGAGTGCAGAGAAAGGGACAGCCAGGTGTGCGAGAAAAGATGGAGACGGCACACCACAGGTTAAGGAATCAATAACTGTGTCGGTACTTGTGCACGTGCTTCTCTAACACCTGGCTGTCCCTTTCTCTGCACTCCTCCCTCGTAACAAATAGTGAACTGTGTCAAAATTTTAATGATAGTTTGTTAAACAACTTTTGAAATTCTAGGACAAAAATTCTGCAAACAAATCACAGAGTTGGTCTGATGTTTGATTATGATCAGCGTTTCATTGAGTATTTTATGTTTATTAGTTTTCGAGTTAGATTGCAATTCATCTTTTCGCTTTTGAGCCAAACGGACTATAGCCCAGACAGTCTACTCCCATTTGTGAGAACTCCCAGTTGTGAGACAGTGGAGTAGGTAATTAGCAAAGAAAACACACCTTACTCCCCTATCTGATAGAATGGATTAACCCCAGCTAATTATGGATTAGCTATTTAACTGAATCTTATGGAGGTAACTTAATAAAACTCTAAAAGATAAAGTAATTAACCTACTCAGATAAATGGCTTTAAAAAATAAACACTTTGTGTAGGTAACTTCGTGATCATTTGAAAGAGAAATGAATTTACCTACTCAGATTTACGTGTTTGAAAAATCTTTCCGATCACCATTATGGCAGGCCTTCAACAAGCAGAATATATCGCCAGTTCACGATAATCTTTTTCAGTATTTCAATATCTATTGAAAACAATAAATGCTCTTCAACGAACAATGTCTGCTGTGTTAATTAACTCATTAATGAACTATGCCTCCTGCGGGTACTCTTCAGCAACAGGGCTGTTCCCACTTTCATCGTAGGGATGGGGAAGCACCACCTGTGTGCACTGAACCATTAATTAATGTGTCTCGCAACTGGGAGTTCTCTCAAATGGGAGGACACCGCCCAGACTGAAGCTGGTTTTATAGTGCTAGCCCACTGAGATACCATGCCGCAGTGAAGCATGAATACCCCACTCAGACACATTATACTGACTCTGTGCCGACCAGTCCTTGTTGTACCCATTAATGCCAAGCGCCAGGCAGGGACCAACAAGTACCATATTTTAACCTCTTTTGGTATGACGCGGTCAGGAATCGAACCAGCGACCTTCTGCTCTCCGGACGAACGCTCTAACCACTACACCAAGGAGGCAGTAACCAGTGAAGTAGAAAAGCTTGATTCATTTCAAAAAGATCTTGTTTGGAATGCTATTAGGAGGTTATATGGGCAAAATATACTTTTTTCATTGCGTGTTTTGAAAAAGCACATGGAGACTGAACATTTCCTTGTAACATTCAAACATCAGTTATGGTTATTGCTACACAAACTTGGGTTTCAGTTATGAAAGATTAGTGGGGAAAATAGACGTGTTCTCTGTGAAAGATCTGACATTATTTGCTTAAGAAACATCTACTTGCGAGCAATTAGGCAAAAAATGTATTAACGGTTTTGAACCTGTTTTTCTGGATGAAACGTAGGTGAATGCCAGTCACAACATAGGTACACAATGGGGGCTAGTACATTAACAGAAACATGAGTACAAAAACTCCCACTTGTCAAGCGTTGGATTATGTTACATGCAGGATTGTAAAAGTTTTGCCTGGTTCTATCAAGACTTTGAAGGAGATGGATATAGCATAAAAATTTAAATCGATAAAGTTTTAAAATAGGAATCGATACACGCAAGTATGTATCGCGTATCGTATCGTCAGTAAAAATGTATCGGTGCATCGATACATTCGCGTATATCGCGACACCCCTAATGAAACCCATTCTTCAGGTGTAATATCTGGTTGCTCATGGGGTTTAATGCTTGTTTAACAGTACTCAGAGCAATTTCCGCGAACTGGCTGTTGCTGTTTTCATTGTTTATCTCCCGCAAGTACCCGGATGAGATCCCAGAATTCTTGACTGGTTTTCGATCTCTGCTGCGCCACCCACAAGCGCAATTGGTAGTATAAGTATCACATTGATCAACAAGGATGAAAACTTCTTTACTTAGTAATAGTTCCATCTTCATTATTATGATAACACATGAAAACACTTTAAAGTTTGACGTCATCTGCCAGTGGTAAAAAATGTTAGGACTGTAAAATAATGATGCCAATGTACGTGCAGTGTTCACGAATAGCGTCTGACCCTCTGACAAATCTGGCAGATTCGGCAAAGGTCTGATAGAACTGTACAACCCGCCAGCCCTAGTGTCTGACTGTATATTTCACGATGACTTTGACTGAAGTTGTTATATGTGACATGTGACACTTGTTTGCTGTTTATAAATCTTCTGTTTTTTAATAATTTCAATGCCAATTATAAGAAATGTTAAATCTGAAATGTGTGTTTAATTTTATTCTTTGGGTCCTGTGAATTTTCAATGGGTCAGACAGACATCTGAAGCTTACAGGACCCAATGTCCTGTTACTTTGAAACACCATTCGTGAACACTGTACGTGTTAATATTTTTACTTACATGCATAATCCTAATTAGTTTATTATTATATTTGTTTGCATTTGGAAACTTTATAAAAGGTACACTGTTTATAGTGTTTTAGAGATTGCCAACGTGAATCATATTTCACACACACACACACACACACACCCTAAGTGCGCCCTAGTGTGTGCTGTCTGTCTCATTACACTTCACAGCGAAAAAAAGATTTTGTTGAATGTTGCAACAATTGAATAAAAACAAAATACAAATATCAAAATTAAAACTGACCAAAGATATAGCAATAATAGGAAACTATAGGAATGTATCCATCAATATCCACATCATCTGCATCTGACAAAGAATATCCACATCATCTGCAGCTGACAAAGAATCCTGTTCCATATCATGTGTCTTTTAACAGTCTAATCAGCGAAAAAGGGAAATAAGATCATAACTAGTGATAGTTTCTCAATTGGTCATGTGACTATTTCATGTTTTTCACATTGGTGTATAGTTTCATTGGTCACCCAAGATAGCCCATCTAACAACTACTTGCATGATGTCCACCATTCTTAAAAAAAAAGTAATTTAGTTAGCCAACAATGAGCAGTCAATGTATAGGTAGTTAATCCTTTCAAGGAAGGACTTTGTGTTTACACAGGCACTTTACGACAGAATGTGGGTATATTCAATGTACGTTAGTAAATCTACATACATAAACACTACCTTTTGACAAATCTGCTGTGCAATATAAAAGTAACAAGAAGACAAAGTCATCAATATCCCCCACAATGGCAAAATACTCTTCATGATTATGTCTACGAGTTATGATTATGTCAAATATTTAGGTGTGTATATGGAAAAGTGGAAGGAGAGTATTGAAAGGTTTTTAAAGTTCTGCTCCCAAAAGCAGCACTATCACCAATTTCAAACTTGTTGCCATGGAAACGCCATAAATATTTTATTCAGAATTCCAAAACTACCAAAAGGCACCAGTACACCACCAGACCAATCTATGTGCCAAGTTTGGTGAAGAAATAGTTAACAGTTTTAGAGTTCAGCTCCGGAAAAGAGCACTACTACAATTTCAGGCTAAGTCAAACTTGTTGCCATGGAAACGCCAAAAATATTTTATTCAGAATTCCAAAACTACCAAAAGGCACCAGTACACCACCAGATCTATCTATGTGCCAAGTTTGGTGAAGAAATAGTTAACAGTTTTAGAGTTCTGCTCCGGAAAAGAGCACTACTACAATTTCAGGCTAAGTCGAACTTGTTGCCATGGAAACGCCAAAAATATTTTATTCAGAATTCCAAAACTACCAAAAGGCACCAGTACACCACCAGATCTATCTATGTGCCAAGTTTGGTGAAGAAATATTGAACGGTTTTAGAGTTCTGCTCCGGAAAAGAGTACTACCACAATTTCAGGCTAAGTCGAACTTGTTGCCATGGAAACGCCAAAAATATTTAATTCAGAATTCCAAAACTACCAAAAGGCACCGGTGCACCACCAGATCCATGTATGTGCCAAGTTTGGTGAAGAAATATTGAACGGTTTTAGATATCTGCTCC